ATCCTTGGGTAGGAAAGATGCCCTGGAGGAGGGCATGGCAACCCACTCCAGTATTCTGGAAAATCCCTTGGATAAAGGAGCCTGTAGGGCTATAGTCCACAGGGTCACAAAGAGTCAGAGACCATTGAAGCGACTGAGTGCACACGCACACACATGGATAGTCATATTGGGCTTTTCCGGTGGCTCAGTGGTAAAGAATCTGCCTACCAGTGCAGAAGACATAGGTTCCATCCCTGAGTCAGGAAAATACCTTGGAGAAGAAAATGGCAACTCATTTCAGTATTTTTGTATGGAAAATCTCATGGGCAGAGAAGCCTGATGGGCTAAAACACATGGGGTTGCAAAAAGAGTCGGAAAGGACTTAGCCACTAAAGGACAACAAGATAGTCAAATTATCTTCAGTTTAAATATTCATGGGAAATAACTATACCAATTAAATATTCCCATATGCATTGCCTTTTTATGAAAGGCTTGTTAGCTTCTGTAATCAGAACATGACTATTTGTTAGTAAATTATACACAATACAAAGTTAAATTCTATACATCTTTTTGGGAGCAAGCCAAGAGTAATTTGGGCATTCAGTGAAATGATTTAATTAAATGATTTTCTATAAATATACTTACATTTATTTAATTTGTAATTAGATTTAAGTAAGTGTTAGTCACTCAGTCGTGCCCAACTCTTTATGACCCCATGGACTACAGCTCACCAGGGTCCTGTGTCCATGAGATTTTCCAGGCAAGGGTACTGGAGTGGGTTGCCATTTCCTTCTCCAGGGGATCTTCCCAAAACAGGGATTGGACCTGCATCTCCTGCATTGCAGGCAGATTCTTTACCAACTGAGCTACTAGGGAAGCCCAAATTAGATTGAGAAAATAGTAAAAAACAGTATTTTCAAACATACTCCTCCATCCCAAAACTACTACTGCTAAACATGAGTGCATTGTCAAATACACATATCTCTTGAACAGGCATTGAGTTATTCAATAAATAATTGAAAAAAGTTCTTTCTTTGGACCAAGCACTGTTTTAAATATTATAGACACAGGAGTAAAAACAAACAAACAAACAAAACAAATCCTTGACCTTGTGAAGCTAGCATTATAGGGTTAGGCCAGATAATAAACAAAATGAAAAAAGGAAAATAAACAATATGTTAAATAGTACTAGGTTTTACTAAAGAAGTAGAACAGGGAAGGGTAATAGAGAACAATGGCAGATTTTGCAGTTTTAAGTAGGTAGTCAGGAAAGGCCCCAAGGAAAAAGTGACAGGAAGTAAACACCCAAAGGAACACATTGACTAGTTATGAGTGGAGAATGATGTTCTCTGACATGGGTTAACAGTCTCGTTCTGGTTGCTATGTAGAGAATATATTGAATGTGCTAAGGACAGAGCAGAGGAAAGATTTAGGAGTGCTGGTGGGAGAGGCAGTGAAAATGTGTTAGTCTGGATATATTTTAAAGTATCATGATGAAGATGGATTGTATGTGGGCTGTGAGATGAAGAGGCCAGTCATGATGCCTCTAAATGTTTGGCTTGACCTATTTGAAGGGTGTAGTTGCTATTTGTTGATTTGGAAAACTCTGTGGAAAAATTTTCAGGGAAGACCAAATGCTCAGTTTTAGATACTTCGGTTTGAAATTCCTAGTAAAGATCCAAATAGCTGGAGAGATGGATGAATACATAGCTACATCGATACATACATACATAGATACATAGATAGACACAAAGATAAGTGGATTTGCATTTCAGGGGAAAAGATAAGTTATGATTACATGTTTATGAGTCACCAATAGACAGATGATATTTAAAGCTATAGCAATCCGTAGGTAAATGATTAAACATGGAGAAAAGTCCTGATGACTGAGTTGGTGACAGTCCATATCTAATAAGTCAGTTAATAAAGAAGCAGCAAAAGAAAAGGAAGAAGTCAGCAACACTGGTTTTTTAAAACTGCATGTGTTTTCTTGGAACTCAGGTTATCAAACATATTTTATGGAGGACAGTGTACTTCACAGTGGCAAATGGTATCCGTATATTGAGTAAGTAAAGCCTGAGAATTGACCTTTGGATTTAGTGAGGTATTTATCACTGCCTCATGGCAAACCTCAGCAAGTTCATGTTCTGAGAAGTGATGGAGGCAAATGCCTGAATGCAGTGGGTTTAAAATAGAATGAAAAGAGGAAAATGTGGACAGACATCATGACCACGATGAAAGCAATTAGAAAAAATGAGATAGAAACTGGAGTAGAAAATAGAAGAATTTGTGTTTCCTGGGGTGTTTGTGTTTGTGTGTGTGAATAAAAGAACATGATTCAATGTTTTCTTTAATCCAAAGAATTCTTTTAATATTTTTGTCTTATGAATACCTTGAGCAAATATTTTGCCCATTCCCCAGTTAAAGTTGTAATTTCTAGATGCAAACAAAATTTCTACTAGAGTTCAGCACATATTACTAAAATACATACATCCTATGCATATTTGAAAATTCATATATAACATATTATAACAAATCATGTCAACAGGTAACTTTCAAGTGTTTCATCGCTTATTTTTTCTTGGATTTGTAGCCATATTAAATTTCTCCCTCCAAATGATTATTAAGCTAGAAAACATTGCTTTTCCCTATTATGTTCAAGACACTGTGCTAAATGTGTTACATATCTTATTCTTACTCTTCCCCATAGGCTTATAAAATAGATTTTATTAACCTATGTTCTAAATAAGAGTCCTGGTGATCAGCACTTCAGTGATTTTCCTGAGTGTTTGATAGATATGACTGATGTAGTAGGTATTTGGTCCCAATATATTTAGTTCCAAAATATATGACCTTTAACTTTTACTACTTTATAACTTTTATTACACTTACTGAAAGACAGAGACCAACTTTAAGTAACATGATTTTTACATACTAGGTAGAGCCAAGTATAGTGAGAGGCAATTAACATGACCTACTATTAACATAGCTGTTAATTTGTTTAAGACGAAATTGTGTTAGATGGCAAACACTATTTTCTCATGTTTACAATCATAAAGCAAACTAGCAAACTAATCCAGATTTTATTTTCTTTATATATCTTGCCATCATCATGAAACAATTTACCAAATTGCAAAACTAAAACAAGACAAAACAAAACCCATTGTACTGACAAGCAAAGATTTGGATGCTGCAAGTTACACATCAGATGGTGTTGATTGTCCGATAAAGGCTGTGAGGAATCCCAAATTAATCCTGTAGCTAGCCTACTGAGTTCCTCTAAAGATTTGCCATTGGAGATGCAATTACTGGGTCTCTTAGAGTTCAAATGTGAGATGCTGAAAACAAATCCTCATCTGAAAAGAATATTGGTTTTCAGTATGCTTAAATTTTGTACAGTTTAATTAATACCTAAAAATGCAAGCTTCGTTTCTTAAAAATCTAAATAACAGAAAATTTAAATATAGTAGGGAAATATTTAGGAGCTCAACATTTTCTCATTACTTGATAATGAATTTCATGTCAAAGTTTATACACATATCAGAAAAGACACAATAACATCTCATTTTAGAATTATGTTCTTTGGAAATCCTTGGCCAACATAATATCTATTCCATTTATTGTTTTATTCCACCTTAATTTCACTATATTTTCCTTGTAAGTTTTCAATTTTCAGTAGTGAGAACCTACAAACAAAAACAACTTCTGGATAGTAATTTTATTTTCAAAATTTATCCTATTACTGTATGATATAAAAAAACCAAACATTTTAATGAGATACTTAAATTGTAACATGCCTGAAGACTTTAAGTTAAAAATATATTATACATAATGCATATTTATAATTTATACATGACTCTAGTGGTACTATAGAGAAAGAATATGATTTAGAGTTCTGAAGTAAAGGTTTTGAATTTCATACATTCCACAATGACCTGCATGAACTTGTAAAAGTTCTCTCTTTCATTTCCACCTGTAAATAGAAGTATTTTCCAACTAATAGACTGGTCACAGTGTTTAACTACTGAATAAGAAGGTACATATTATCTTATTGGTAGTTAAAAGCAAGTAAATAGTTTCTCCTCTTTTCCTCTTATCTAGAAGCATAGCTAAAAAAAAGCATAGATAAATGCTTAAGCATAAAAAAAAAAAGCATAGATAAATGGAATCAGTGATTGAATTTTATTTTAGAACAATAGCAAAACACTTGTTCAACATGTCTTTAGAGCAAAATAAATGTTTTATTAAAATATTAGTCTTTCCCATAATAAATTGAAGTACTCATGTTTTTTTTTTTCAAATTGTAGAAAAACTGAAGATGATTGGAAGATTGCACATACACATCTATCTACAATGCACATATATATTTGTGTGTTATTTTTCTAACCTAGGAAGTATATATCTCATCTTTCCTTAGTGAAACATCAGTAATATGAGTGTAGAAGAATGATATATTAAGCAAGACATCCTTCTTAGGAACTCAGAATCTGTAGTTTTAAACAGTAATTTAAGTTTCTAAACACTGTAACACTGTAGGCAATTAAATAAATTCTAAATAATTTTCAAATGGCTGGATTTTATCCCATATGCTAAATATTATTTTAATAACTTTAGTGCCTTTTGCTGCTGCTTTCTACAAACACTATCAAAACTATGGAAATTTGAATATGCAAGGAAGTGAATGAAGAGAAAAACCTAAGCAAATGTCATGTAGGCTAAGAAGGTGAGCACTGAAATTTTACCTCTTGACAATGCCCCCAATGTTAGGAAAAAAGAAACAGAACCTTATAGTTTTTAGCTACCCTTTAAATTGAATATGAAGGATGCAGTGGATATCTTTTACAGAAATAAAGTATGCAAAGCATACTTTAAAGTATATGCTAAAGTATCCACCCAACTCATCATAAAATTGGTATGAAAACCCCCAAATATATTTTGGTATAGGCTTTTTCAGCATCAATCAAGTGATCAATGATCTTTGAGGCAGAAAAGACAAATTCAAATAAATAAAGAAAACTCACCTTGTCCACAATACATATCTGCTTTTTGGTTTGAGCATCAAGTATTTCAATCTCAAAGTGAGTAGTTTTTGAATGTTTAACTGCTGACGCTGATTTTAGAGGGCCTGCTGAGAGTATAAATTGCGATAAAAAATGAAAATTTCTCATGTCATCCTTAAGTATGGACCGTGTAGCTCCTGGAGAAATCCTGCGTTCTGAAGCAAGAGACTTGTACCTTTTGAACATTCTGCGAACTACCAGGAGAAACTGTCTTGTCAACAGGAGACACATGCAAGTGTGTTCCCTTCAAACAAGTTAAATACTGCTGGTGAAACCTGGAAAGGTCAAGTGGCATGCCATTCCAAGAGTTCAGTTTTATTTAGCAGCCTTGAAAACAATGACTGATCTCTTTCTATATATAACACACTATTGTGAATTGCTGCAGTGTAGATTACCAGCATTCAAATTATTTTTTGCTTTCTCCTTTTATCTCAGGTTCTTAATATGGCCAGTAGTATCTGAAATTCCAAAGCAAGAAAGGAATAGAGAAGAGTTTTTATTATCTCTGGATTCTGGATCCACTAATCTGCAAACACATGAATTATTCCTGCATTCATATGTAGATGTACTAAAATTATCATACTGCTATCTTATCTTATATCTTATACTGCTGTTAGTAATGTACTAATAGTTAGTACATTATTACATAAACACTTTTTTTTTTGGTAAATACTTTCTAGAATAAAGATCTGTGCCATATTTTTAATACCCACATATACATCTGATAGAAAATGGATAAATTCTTCATTCCATATGGAGAACAGAAAAACAACAAGTCATCTATATGATTGGGATACATAGAGAAGAACTTTATACTTTAAGAAAAAGGAAGAAAACCTTATTTTAACACTTTTACACGCATTATATGACAGGGAAATAATTACATGTATATGCAAAATCAGTACTAAACATCACAAGTATCACAAATTATGACAAATTAAAAGAAGCTCAGAATGAACAATGAAAAATAAAAAAACAACCTGGAAAGAGGGGTTTGCGAAAGACTCCAAGTACTCTCTGAGACCTGTAAAGCGGGTGAAGGAATAACAAAAATCCAAATTATAGTGCTACTGATTCAAAGGAATGTTACAGGAAAATATTCTAGGATATTATTTTCAATAAAAACATGAAAAAGAAAACAGTTACAATAGTAGAGGGGAAATCTATATATCTATATTAGGGAACTAATCTTTAATTTTGTAAATAAAATAATGCAATTAAAACATTTTGGACTACTCATTGTGTGCCAGAGATTCATGTACACATTGTTCAGTAATCATTTTCATACTCTAGACCACAATTCCACTCAATATTTATTATTAAACACTAGAAGTCAGGGATGTATGTGCATATATGTTTTTGCACACACACACTGTCAGTTTTATCACCTAGTTGTTCAGCACTTTAAATTTAGGATTATCCTTAACATTTCCCTTTCTCCCACACCTCAGATCTAATTCATCAAAAATCCAGAACACAGTCTTACCACCATCCCACAGTTAATTTCAGAATATCATTTCACCTGTAATGCTTTTCCAAACTGGTCTCCCTGTGTGAAAATTGGTCAATCAATAGTCTTTAATACAGCTGCTGAAATGATTGGTCTTTATATTAAAACAAGCAATGTAATTAACTGCTCAACACTCTCCTTGAGGATTCATATTTTATTCATATATAATTAAAAAGCTAAAGTTTCCTGAAGAGGTCTACAATGCTCTGCATCATCAGCATTTTGTCATATTTCGGATGCCATGCCCTAAGCTACCCAGAGTGCTCAGAGGAGTGTCTAGCACACAGTAGGTGCCCCATACACATGTATTAAAGAATCAACTAATAAATAATTGATCAATAAGTGTATCTTGAAGGTGTAGGCAGAAGGATGTGAATTAACTACATAGTGAGGTGAACTATTAGTGCATTATAGCAAAGTAACATAACTCTGCAACCCATATAATATAATCTTCAGAGATAGCTTCTATTAAAAACAAAAAGAAAGGAATAGTCAAAGAACACAGGTGCCAAACTGAAAGAGCTCCCATTGCCAACACTGAAATAATTCAAAAACATAAATACTGATGATAATATATTCTGACTCAAAGAACTTTGTAAATATTTGTGAGTCCATACTGATATAAATAAGTGATAGAATAAGTAATAAATAAATAAATAAATGGGGACAAGGAATGAAATTTTCCTACATAAGAAATTCCAAATTGTATATGCAGATAATCTCTGAATGAGTGTAAGTTTCACTTAAGTAACACAATGAATGGAAGCAGAAAATAGAAGCTTTACAGTGAGTAAAGAAACTGGCAGGGAGACATATTTTAACCTAGAGATCAAGTCTAATATCACCATGAAGAGTCATGTTGATATTACATACTGACGGATATCATGAGATGAGGGCACATCAGCTCTGTGGTATTCTTCCAAAAGTTTGTTACTTAAGTTTAACCCTGAGAAAACAGCAAACAAACACAAATTGAGGGACATCCTACAAAAATACCTAATAGTGTTTCATACTGTTAAAAATATGAAAAACAAGGAAACAATTGAGATAAAGTGACAGATCAAGAGAGAATATAAAGACACAAATAGAAAATGCAATGTAGTATATTGATTGTTTTCTAAAAGAGAAAATAAATGAGAATAGCATCTGAAATTTAACTAACTGTATAGTACCAATAGCAATATCTGAGTTTTGATAAATATGATTATGAAAGATGTTGAAATTAGGGGAACTAGGTAAAAAAATACACACAAAAATTTATTCTCAATGATTTTCTAAAGTTATTCTAAAATAAAAAGTATCAGCTAAAACATACCCACACATGCAAAAAAAAAAAAAAATTGAAGAAAGAAAAAATGGGTGTAAATGGCATTATTTATAAGGGAGAAAATTGCAGATTTTTGTCTATGTCAGTCACCTATATTAAAAGTTTTCAAAGAAAAAAAATAATTTTGTGTATTAAGCTATTTATTATTTCATTAGTATTTTGAAGTAACTTTAAAAATAAAGTATTTTCTGTTTGCTAATTTTTTTTAAAGATTATTGCTAAATAGATCATAATGAAACTAATATCATTAATTACTACTGGTTTAATACTAGACCTGGGATACCACTCTAAAATAGATAGCAATTTGAAAATGTTTTTAGTGGAAAACTATTATGAAATGATGCATGTGAAACAGGAATCTTTATTCCAATTGAATTTACTTATAGTAAAATGTGAAGGGAGGCCTTATTGTATCATTGTTCTTTACCCTCATATTTTTCATTTCTTTTTGACAGAAGGCATATCATTTAAATTTATTTTCCATTTGAAATGCTAACTTCTTAAGAGATAATTTTAAATAATAAGTAGAGTTATTCTATATGGCAGTTTTAGTTCACACAAAATTGAGTAAATATATTTATCGCATTCCCTCCCAATATACTATATACCTTAAAATTAATATTTGTATTAGTGTGAAACTTTGTTACAATTAATGAACAAATATTGATAAATATTTATTAATTAAAGACAATATTTTAGGATTTAGACTTTGTGTTTTATAGTTCTGTGAGTTCTGACAAATAAATTCATTCATACACCATAATAACATCATACAAAAAAGTTTCACTGACCTGAGACTGTCCTGTGCTCTATATATCCATTCCACTCTGTACTCCTGAATTCCTGGCAACCACTAATCTGTTTTACTGTCTTCACACTTTTATCTTTTCCAGAATATCATAGTTGAAATCATACAGTATGTAGTTTTTCCAGACAGGCTTTTTAAAACTAATAATACACATATAAAATTAGAGGTTTTTTTTAATCATTGAATAATATCTCACTGTATGTTGTATCATAGTTTACTTATTCATCCATCTATTGAAGGACATCTTTGTTGTTGCTTTGAACATTTGTGTTTTAGGTTTATGTGTGAGTATAATTTTAAATTTCTTTCATTAAAGAACTAAGGATGTGATTGCTTAATTGAATAGTAGGTCTTTGTTTATTTTGTAACAGTCAGACTGGATTTCAAAATATACCATTTGGCATTCCCACCAGCAATGAATGAAAGTTCTGGTTGCTCCACATCCTCCACAGGTTTGGTGTTATAACTGCTCTGGAATTTGGCCATCCTAATAAGTGTGATGTAGTATTTCATGTTTAAATATACAATTATCTAATGACAAATGATGTAGAGTACCTTTTCTTATGGTACATCTCTGCTAAAGTGCCTGCCCAGATCTCTTGTCCATTTTGTAATTGTTTTTTTATCCCCTACTGTAGAGTTTAGAGAGTTCCTTTTATATCTTGGATATAAGTTCTTTATCATATATGTGTTTTCCGAATACTTTCTTACTGTTTGGTTTGTCTTCTAATTCTCTTAAGAGTATTTTTTGTAAAGCAAAAGTTTTAAAATTTAACGAATTCCAATTTGTCTCTTCATCATTCATGGATTGTGTTTTTCTGATGTTATTTTCTATAAATTGTATGATTTTGTATTTTACATGTATGTCCATGATCCATTTTGAGTTAATTTATGTGAAAGGTGTAAGGTCTGTAAATAGATGTTCTTTTTGCATGTGGGTATCTAGCTGCTTCAGTACCATTTGGTAGAAAGACTATCCTTTCTCCAAAGGTCTGCCTATAATTGCTTGATTATATTTATGTGGATCTATTTCTATACTGTTCTGTTCCATTGATCTATCTGTCTATTCTTTTTGCCAAAACCACATTGTCCTTATTATGGTAGCTTCATAATAAGACTTGATGTCTGGTAATCTCAGCCATCGAGCTTTGTTTTTCTTCTTCAGTACTGCAAGGGATATTCTGAGTCTTTTGCCTCTTAGTTCAGGTTTTATGATAGATACTCCATGTATTGGAGCTTCCCTAGTTGCTCAGTGGTGAAGAATCCACTTGCCAATGCCAGGAGCTGTGGGAGACGGGGATTCAATTCCTGGGTTGGGAAGAACCCTTGAGGAGGAAATGGCAGCCTGCTTCAGTATTCTTGCCTGGAGAATCCCATGAACTGAGGAGCCTGGCAGGCTACAGTCCACAGGGTGGGAAAAGTCGACACGACTGAGTGACTGAGCACACAAATACGCATTCCATGTGTTTCCACAATTGCATTGTGGAGTCAATAAATCATGGTGGGTTTTCTAAATTTGAACATATGCATGTTAACAATGA